TTTATTCACGAGTATTTGCATGTTATTCTTCCATAGCGCATGGAAAAGGGCCATGATGCATGAGAGCAAGGGACTGTGGAGCAACTTGGGGTTCTGAAAGAAATAAAAAAAACTTCCTTTATTGCTAGGAATTGTTGGCAAAAACATATTATATGAACTAACTTTTGCAGAATGAAAACTACAAGAAGCAGAACAATACTCACATTTTTCACAGTTCCTAGATAATCAGCCATATAGCCTAGAATGCCTTCGAAACTGTCATCTGTTTCAGGTTTCTTATCAGTGGGAGTTTTCTTATCTTTGTCATCATCAGTGTCCATCTTAATTTCATGGTTCATCATGAAGAATGCCTCAGTGAGCCCTGGCTGGGTGCCAACACAAGTGGCCACGAACTCCAATATGGCTACCTTTAGTTCAGTTGTTTCGTACTTGTCCCGCAGACGGTCGAGGAACATGACTCGCACTTGATAAGCAGTCATGTCTAAAGACGCGAATAAAGACATTTGGAAACGCTGAAATGGAATTTTAGTTTCTTAAGACATTGTCAGGAAAATGCAAATATAATGTGTCTACTTTCCTATTACACACAACGCGACAATTTATTGAAAATGATAAGCGAAATTGAACGAATGCCTCATTAAAACATAGTACAAAAACAATAGTCATAATTTTACTCACATCGGCAAAACTCTTGAGCAACCTGCAGCAGAGTACAGGCAGATTTTTATTGAATGCATGGTTGATGTAACTGGTGACTCTTGGTACTACTTTCAACGAGTCTTTCTGCTTATTCTGAGCAAAGATGAGGTGTTCTAATGGCGTCACCTCTGTAGCTTCCGTGACTAAGGGCTTGAGGCGTAAGGCAAAGATAACTATAGCTACACATCTCTGTATCGTTGATATGTACTGAGATCCATTACCCGCTATCCAATTCGTTTCGTTCCTTATTACATTTTCTAGTTGATCGTTACCTGAATAATAAAACACAAAAGTTATTAAAGTATTGATTGATACAGATTTACTTTGAAAATACTCATAATATAATAATTGACTGAATTATACATACCAACAGAAATGAACTTCAATAATTCGAGTGCATTTTCCGTATGTAATAAACTGTATACACAAGTCTGTTTCAGTAACGCGTTGGAGGGCTTGCTAGTATTCGTATCTTGCAACACGAGCGTTAAGAACTGCGCGCAACGCAGTATCATGTCACGTCGCTCGCGAGTGTTGCTGTAACGCCAGCCATAGATATTGGGAAACACTTCGCGAAGGATCAATATTAGACCAGGGAGAATTATTTCCGTTGTTATACGGTCATCACTTGCAGATTGCTGAAATGTTTTAAAAAACGTTAAAGATGCTTTGCTAAATAAGATTTCATTGTACGATTTTTAGGCTAAATAGTAACCTACCTCATGGAATGCACATAACAGATCAATGTATGCCCCTAAGAATTTGTATGTGCCGGTCAGCTGTTCTATCGTCACCAAATAAGAACCAACCGCAGCCGAGTCAAAGGATGCTCCATTAGCATACTCTATGTGAGCAAGTTTGTGGTTCATTAGACGAGGTAATAGTCCAGTGTTTATCAGTCTGTAAAATTGAAACATTTTAATTACAAAATTCATTACTCATATGACAGAAATTGGGTGCGATTGTGTACCTACCTTAAATGTATCTCCTTCGGGAAAACTGGTACTAAGGCAGTACAAACAGCAAGGCACTCTACCAACAGTGATAAAGGCGGTGTGTCAGCCCTCATAAATCTTACTAGTACATCAAACACTCCTTCACTTGGTCCTACCAAGGTCTTTGGTATCTCTCGGTCCTCAACCAGTGCCTGCAGCACTCCTTTCAACACCTTCGTACCCTGATAGATCCTTTCTAACGTCACATTGATATTATTTTGATGATGTTGCTTCCGATCAAGTGCTTTTTCAATCTCGCTGTTGAATACTGTCCAATAAGAATACGGTGTTCTAAAATGGATCATTGTCGCTTCCTTCCGCTCCATCAGTGTGGCTGTAGAGCCTATTTCAATGCGGTAAGACGGGTTTCCTAGAGGAAAATATTCGCGTCCGATAATAGCGTCATCGCCTTGTAGTGACATGACGGGTACTGCGTTCGGATTGTAGATTTCAGTGTAGACTGGAAGACTCTTTAGTTCTGATAACAGCTGTGTATAAGAAAAATAGAATGAAATTTTTTACATACTTATTAAAGAACAGTCTGTTTAATAAAAAAATATACTCACATTCATAACACTACATTTTCCTCCTTGAGCTAGTCCACTAGATAAAATGGATAGAGCACTGAAATTGAAAGGAAAATATTCTAGCGCTGTATTCCATAGAGATACAACGCCACAGTTTTCATCTCTCTTGTGTAGTTTCCAGAACTGACAAGTAATTTCTGGAGAAGATAATAAGTGAGCACAGAGTTGCATGACACCTGCTTGGTGGCTGATGGTACCATCTCCATCAAACTTATCGCACAAGTCGTTCAAAAGTCGAAATACTCTTTGCCGGGCGATAAGGGCGCATTTTGATTGGTCCTGTGTAGAAAATTTTGGTATAGTAAGAAGTAACAAAAATAAGTATAGTAAGTCAGTAGTGATAGTTGTGTGTACTTACAGAAAAACCAGAACTATTTAACATCTGTAGTAGGAATTCAAAGACTTGCATTCTTAGTGCTGTGGCTCCAAAATGTTGGTATTGACTCTCAAAGAGTTTTGCATGTTGATCACTCTGCAATGTCCAAAGATTCATTAATAGTAAATCGTTAAAATCACTACAATGTCAACAATAAAATTATAACAGATCAAAAGGATCTCATTAAAATTGATTGTTTATGTATCAAAGTTCTTACAGTTAATGAGATTGTGACCCTTTGGCTCTCTTAGATCTATGTTACAGCAAAGCATAGGTTCAGTAAAACTTACCTGGAGTGTGAGCATCATCCAAGTGATGAGCATTGCACTGTGTTCAGCATTCATTTGGAGTTTGGTGAGCTCACCTTCTACCACCTCTTTAGTACTGTCTATCCAAGCTGACAAGTTGTTGCTGCAATAAAAATACATTACATAACATCACACCTTTTATCCCTACATTATGGAACTTAATGCCACTGTACTAACAATGTAATACCCACTGTCCACTATATAGGAGGTGAGCTGATAACCTTTAAAACAGCAATAAAAATAATTATAAAAAAACTAGCTACTTCTGTGCGGTTTCATATGCTCTGCTCAGCTCATATTGGTCGTAGCGTGATGTTTTATAGCCTATAGCCCTCCTCGATAAATGCACTTTCCAACACAAAAAGAATTATTCAATTCGAACCAGTAGTTTCGGAGATTAGCGCGTTCAAACAAACAAACAAACTCTTCAGCTTATATAATAAGTATAAGATTATTTAGAACAATGCATGCATAGAAAGGCACTACTTAATTTGATTTTCAACTTATAAGTTGTATGTAATTGGCTGAACTTTTTGCATAATGAAATACTTACATTTTAATGCCATCTGCAATGACCATAAACAAACACACTTCCATATACATTATCCTCATACATGGCTCTCTATGTCTCTCTTCCATAAGCTCACTGTATCCCTGGTTCTTGCCAAACGCATGCTTTCTGAACAATGTGAACAATCTATTGAAATCTGTCTCTGTAAATATTTCTTCTTCAGCAATATGAAGGAGAATCTGTAAGATAGCCAACTGCTCTCTCATATTACAGTCGGCCCATTCTTGTCTGATATTCTCATTAGAAAATTCTTTTTGCATCCTCCTTAGTGGAGGTGCTGTATTCAAGAGTTTGTCAAACTGAGATATCAATGATGTTTTTAAGTTCTCCATTCCTATGTCCTTTATAATTTTCTTAAATTGTTCATTATAAGCATGCTGAGGATCATCTTTAAACTGCACTATGTATTGCAATAACTTAAGAAGGAACAGTCTCTCTGCATAGTAAAAGTTCCACACATTAGGCAGCAGGAAAACAGGTCTTGTATCTACAAATGCCACATTTTTAAGAGCATTCGCTGGGGTGCCATATGATATATCACACAAGTAATTGTTCATAATTTCCCATATTTGAAAGCAGTCCACATCCTGTAAACAGATTGCTCAGTTTAATTAAACAGTCACATAGTTATTATTATAGAATTATCGTAGAGTAATTAATAGACAAATTATCACTTACGATGTAGTTTTGCAAGGTTTGGATCACACTCAAAAGTTTAGTTTGATCTGCATGTTTGGTTTGAAGTTGAGGAAAACTTTCAGGTTTATGTGGCTTGTAACTACCAAGACCTTGTTTCAGGCTCTCCACAACATCTTTATTCCCTAATACAGAAGTTAATTCTTCATTTGTTAACGACTCCGATGTGGTCCAACGCCACAATCGCTTCCAATAGCTGTAAAATTATGTCAGTAGATAAATAGCAGAAGACTAATTCTAATATCGTAAATAAAATTGTAAGCATACGTACCATATTCCGTTTGCTGTCATGATTGTGAATTTTATTTCCAGGAAGCACAATCACAAGGATTAATATTACTTTTGTGGTAATATTATTTACCGCCGAAGCATTTTAGGTTACAATAGCAAACCGTCAGTCACTTTTGACTGATTTAATTTTGACTTTGACAACTGTCAAGTTACTATAGATAAAATTATACGGTACCTGCCATCGGTACAGACTATAGAGTTCACTGATAATTTGCGATAGTTTTTCACATATGTTTTGTATAAAATAATGTAATATAGTTTGATATTGATTATTTTACACAATATTTAATTCAAAAGCTATATTTAGATTTACTCCTAGTTTTTAATATTTTTGTGACATTGACAAACATGGCGTTTGTCATATTGACATGACATTTTGGATTTGAAGTTTAAAGCTGTTTGTTGACAGTTATCGACCGACGTCACCACATGAGGGTCAGAGTTTCACTCTAAATTATCAATTATAATACGGTTGGTTCATCGATATAGACTTAATTTGTAGATAATAAGAAGTGCACGTGATGCTTTTACTATATGTGCACGTACGCATTTAGTTTCATTTATACATTTTATTTTATTGGTTATAGCTTTACTTTCCCGGTGCTTGAATAACCAGCAACATGGCTCCAGTAGCTCCTGCAGTAAAAACTTTGCCTGAGGATCCTATAGGCATCAGAGCCGTACTCCTCGGACCGCCAGGATCCGGTAAAGGAACTCAGGTAATACTTGTTTATATGATCTTTGACCTTTAGTCCTATACCCACTGTTTATATAAATGTAAGTTGCTAAGTATCTAATTAATGCTATTTAAATCTTTGATAATTTTTATGTTATGTAATCACTGTATGAGTTTATAAGAATTTTAAAGTTACCAATAGTTAGGCCTATATGGAACTATCTACTAACTACTATAGATAGGATCACCTATTCATACAGAGTATTGTTAATAGTGAAAATAACTGACTTGTTTTTTACTAGGCACCTCTGCTCAAGCGAAAATATTCTGTATGCCACTTATCTACTGGAGACATGCTCAGAGAAGAAGTCGCATCAGGCTCAGAATTGGGCCGTTCACTAAAGAAGGTCATGGATGAAGGGAAACTGGTTTCTGATGAGATGGTTGTAAATATGATTGACAAAAACTTGGATCAGCCATCTTGTAAGAATGGTTTTCTCCTTGATGGCTTTCCCAGAACGGTCCCTCAAGCCGAAAAGGTGAAGTTTTTTTTATATATTTACATATTTATTGACAATTTTTGTTCACTTTCCAAAAAAATAGAACCTCTATTAGTGTTCTTATTTACATTTTGAGCTTAGGAGATACAAGTTCATCTTTGCTCATGTAATTATTTGCAGTAAAAGAAATGATGGAACTTTTGAAAGAAAAGTAGAAATTTAATGCATTGTATTCCATACAATATTTTTTGGCAATATACAATTCGTATTTTATCTTTAATAAATTTTAAATATGATTGAATATATTCTTAATAATAAATTCTATTTTGTTTTGCAGTTGGATGTTCTGTTAGCCAAACGTGATTCTGGACTTGATGCTGTCATTGAATTTGGCATTCAAGATAGTCTGTTGGTCCGCAGAATTACAGGGAGACTGATTCATCCATCCAGTGGACGTAGCTACCATGAGGAGTTCTACCCACCTAAGAAGCCCATGGTAGATGATGTTACTGGTGAACCTTTAATTAGAAGGTCTGATGACAATGTTGATGCTTTGAAAAAGCGACTTGCTGTATATAATGCGCAGACTGTACCTCTTGTGGATTATTACATGAGGAAAGGTATTCACTGGAGGGTGGACGCAACTAAATCTTCTGATCAGGTATTCAACAAGATTGACAACATCTTCAAAACTAGGATCTTCTCAAGGCAACAGCAACAACAACAACAGCAAGCATCCCAGTAACTTAGTATTTAAGAAAATGTTTTGTACAAATCTTATTTCCATATTGCAGTATGTTAACTGTCATTTGTTTAGTTAAAAACTATTGTGAATCTATATCATCTATTTTAGAGACTATTTTTCTTGAACAAATACAGTGGACTGGAATCATGGACTTGTTTGTTTGATTAAAACAGCTAGATAACAGTTTATCACATAATGTGTTCTACAATTATTGCCATGCAAAGATAGTACTTACTTACATAATCAAATTGATTACAGATTTTGCAGCAACAAATGTAAAGCAATTATACATAATTTGTAGTCAACTAAATACATAAAATATGTGCCAACAGGCAGGAGTAAAGTTAATGAAGTTAAAAATCAGTTATTATAGTTTTTCATATTTGATTATGTATACATTTCATTATGGCAAGTTCAGATATAGCTTAAAAATAATTATTTATAGTATTGGGTTCATTGTTAGACATCCATTTCCCAAAATGACTAATGCAAACAGAAGAAATAACATAAAACTCATTAATTTTCAGAACTTTATTTTTTCTACTAAATACTTAATATTAATAATTGTTATGGCTGTTACCTAATATAAAATGGTTAGTATTCATTTTTATAAGCTCGAAGAAAGGCTCAAAATATACATTATATATCAGGTTACAAGTTTACTCATACAACAATATAACCATAACTCTATATAGACTTGAATTTTATATGTGAAGGACAAGTTGATAACATTGACATAATGTACATACATATACAGTATTGTTTCCATTACATTGTTTACATTGTGAACATTATGTTTATAATTATATGTAGTATGGTTTTTATCATTTCATTTTCTTGAAGTTTATATTGATTCTGAACTATGTTATTGTCTTTAAGGTTAAGTACACACTATACTATTAGATAGAGGATTCTATAGGTACATTGGTTATATTATGAACAATATATAGGTAAATAGCTTATTAAATCAGTAATATAACAAAGTTAGTATAAAACTCACTAGCTAAAAGTGAATGTGGAATAATACTACATCTGACTGAACAACTATACTGTACCTACTATTCTATAAAGTAGATACAAGACATATTACAGTCCAATACTCCAATCGATGAATGATCTATCTATACAACTGTCAAACACCGCGAGGACACCGGTGACCGCAACCTATTGTTCTTTAATTGTGTCTATAATGACGGTACTCAAAGGCTAATGTATCTTGTTATTATCAGCATACTTTTAAAATAGTGTATTTTAATGATTTTGTTATAAGATGTCCAACTACCATTAACTTTCTGTAGAACCATTATTTTTTTTTCATTCATTACTTCATTACTTTTTAACATCTACCCATGGATTTACGCGGGTTCCTACCGGCTAAATTCAATTTATACGTAGGTATGTAAATATTTATAAAATTCATCAATGGTTAATTTCACAGCCGTATAATATTTGCACTTTTAGGGATAAATTTTTAGATAAAATTGAAAAGTTAGGTATAGGAAGGTAAATATGTTTGTAGTTACAAAGATATTAAATTGGTAGATACAGAGTATATAAGAAGTTAATTAATAATCTAGAAGTTTAAGCTGGACAACAACAAGGTTTAATATGCATTTACCTAATAAATAAATGCCTTACTTTGAGATATACACAGACTTAGGCATTGTGTGACTATCAGTACGTATTATACCTATGACTTAGCTATTATTACTTACAATTTAATAGAACATAACTATGTAATTTACTATAGCAAAGTAGGTAGAAAAGTTGCAAATGCACTTTTAACTTAAAATAATTATGAAAGGTTATACAAACAAAGTTAATTCATATGTAGGTATGATAAGCTTGAAGTACCGAGTAATACGGGGTGAATAGAATTCAAGCGTTGAATAGAGACAGAAGAGGCGTAAATAGATACTATGAAGAATTTCCCATGCATATTCAACTCTCTTCTATCTCTATTCAACCCTCAAATTCTACTCACCCCGTTTTGCGTTAGGTATTTATGTAGCTTTATTATGATATTGGTGTTAAGCTGAAATTCCATAACACTGCTTTGGTATGTTATTTACTAAAGCAACTTTAAGGTCAAGGAAGGTTATCAACTATAATAATGATAGTATGCATGCTTAAAGGAAGTAAATAAAACACAAAATAAATGAGCCGATTTAGTGTAATTGTGATCATTTTCAAGTATAAATGTAATTTTATACAAAAGAACAATTATTATAATGTATTATGTAGATAGGTACAATTTATTTATGTTTAGGCAGATTCGACTTTATAATACAACAACAAGATGAAGTTACTCGAGACGAAGTAATATAAAGTGATACACGTAATCAAAAAATATAAAAAGCAAACGAAACTTCATGATATGCTATTATGCTAATTAATAATTGATAGTAAAAATAATTCACGCCGACTAGCAAACACATTAACATTTAAGTGCAATCCTCCAAGTATTACACTAGTTATATTAAAATTTCCATAGTTAAGATTTTTCATAAAAATACTACCTTTAAAGTACTATTCGCACCAAACGTCGCATTTTAAAATACGTAATTTTGATAATAACGAACGATATGAAAACAAATAACGATTTATAATAAAATAGACGTGATTTCCACTGTCAAAAGATGGTTTTATTAAAGGTAGGTAGATATTATACAGAGTCTGTCATGGGGAATTGAGACGTAAACACGAATGAACACCGAAAGCTAAACTAGCATCAAATAAATAACTATAATTAAAAAATATACGTAGGTAGGTAGGTAGATTATATACAGAAATGATACGATACCAGTCACAGCTACTTAACAACGTCCTATGCCACTATATATAGCTTTGGATTACCGTAACGACAACACGTTTACACGTTTTGGCTAAATCTAATTTACAATAAAGCTTTTTAGAACAACATTTACATACAATTGGAAAATATTTAACAAGTGGAGTCCGGGGCGGTCGCTACTGGTGCTGAAAAACTTTATCGCTAACCGAATATGACTACGAAGAAGACTTATTTAACTGAGGCACTTGGTCTAAAACACCAGAATTTGCGGCGGACAGGGTCTTCTAAACATACTCATATTTCAACAAACCCAGCTACTTCTGACCGAGGGATAGAGATGATAAGAAAATCGAGATGTTATATCCAAACGCGGCGTAGACTTCACAGAGCTTCGGATTGGAAGCGGTAGGCTGGAGAGTCTAGTACCGGTTGGAGAGAAGTGACGGTGCGAGACCGCAGCGTGGCGTGCTCAGGCGAGGCCCGCCGCGGCTCAGTGGTCGTGCAGCCGGTCGTGCGAGCGACTCGACGACCGGGACGTCTTGCGCTGGTCCAGGTATGCCGCCGGCGCCCAACCCTCACCTTGACCACCTGCAGACCAAGGTAAATGATGTTACACATTATAACGGTACTTACTTAATTTTAAAAATTATAACTATAACTAGGCTAAATATGGCATCATCATCAGGCAAACAGGTTCGTAAATCTAAGATGGAGTGTGACGTAGCTACGTACCGGCGAGCCGCACGTACCACCAGCCGGCGCAGCCCACCTTGAGCAGCTCGGCGTGCTGGCCCTCCCGCAGCGAGACCTCGCTGGGCCCCACGGCCGTGTAGTCCGACAGCGCCACCAGCGCGCACCCCACCGCCTGCCACACAACACTGCGCTCAGCACTGGTACATACGTCTGCTGTCTCTAGCTACTTTATAATAATTACCGTCCATGTTCACTGTATTTAAGAATTCTTTCAATTTTCTTGGTATCATGTTGCATTTGCATTATATCTACTTTTTTGTACAGTGAGCATCAGGTGATCCTATTCTAATCTGTTATTATTTTTATTGTATTTTTGACTTTATTTCTCACAAGAATAAAGCTAAAAATGTAATAAAGAAACTGACAGAAATGAGTAAGTTGTCCTGCTAGCAGTGCTAGTCACTGTACATATCATGCCTTTAACCTTTAGGAAATTGAAAGCATTCGTTTGGTTTTCATTATTGGTCAGTTTATGTATCTCATGTTTTTATGTTGATTAGGATTTATAGCCGTGTCAAGATGAGAATGTGGAGTGTTGTGTTGGTACTGTAGTGAGTCTAGCTGTATCTAGTATGTCTGTAGCAAAAGTATGTAGGTAGTAAAGAGTAACACCGTTCAATCCTGTACATCGATCGACATGCATTCCATCACCACTGGTCAAACAGAGAGTGTCGTCAAATTGTAGCCAAATATCACAGTAAAGTACATAGAGTAAAACAAGCAAAGAACTCATATTAGACCTAATTTGACTCCACCCATGGAACACAGGCATGCACTTTTATTGTAACGTACTTAATAGATAAAAATAGTCCTTTTCGTTTTTCCTATCTAGAAGTAGTTCGATGTTTGACCAGACCATGCATGTTAGTAAAGCAGTTAGTAGAACATAAGTTAACACTGATAATATAATTAATTACAATAAAATAGGTAATTTAGATAAACGGCTATTATAGTTATTTGCGGCAGAAATAATAGTCATACTTTTGAAGATAGATATATTCGCCAAATGCTGAATTATAAATACATCGAATAGGCGGGATATTACATAATACATTATATTACATAGACAATTTCCAGATAAGTTATACTAACATTGAAAAACACATTATGTAGTTTTATATAGATAATTATACGTCCAAAGTCCATTTAAGTGTCGAATACCAAGGAACTAAAAACTGGTTTTCATATTATGAAATTGACAAAGAATCAACTATTTTTATGTATTTTAGATTTTATACTATGTAATGGTAATGTTAACCGAAGTGTACTATCTGGTATACCAACCAATTAATCTACCCACGTTGGCCAGTTTAACGGTTAGTCGAATTTGTTATTTCTAGTGAATCATGTTTAGTCATAATAATTTAGAATAACTATGACCAATCATTTATTATCACATTGATGAATACAAGATAAAAAAAAAACATTTATCAAAAGATTAATTATGGTGTAGGAATTTGTTCGGGAAGGGCCTCTATAGACAGCGTGGGAGATTAACTTGTTTAATTTTCTTTGTCAGCTTATAATATGAAATAAATTTCTAGTAGATATAAATATATACGTAGTATAGTAGTATCAGAAATAGTGTCACACTGAAGTAAACC